GTTCAAGTTGAATACTGAAGCCTTGTATGGTATCCGAGCATGGATAGAACTAGGGGCGGCTTATAGAAACCGGTGTAATTTCGATACTTCTTTTGATATATTTTAGTATAACCAATTATTTTAATCAAATACTCTGGGATCTATTTTTTAAATTGACATCACTTTTAATAACTATTTTTTTTTTCTAAATACCTAATAAATTATAATTAAAAATAATTTTATTTAACAACCATTTCTGAACAGTCTTTCGAACCCACTGCATACACTACAAATACCTGTATATGGTTATGATTGTGTAACGTTATATATATCTATATAATCGGTCATTAATAAGCACTTAGTATAATTTAATGCAGTAATAATTAATTAAAAATGGTAGATCAAGCATGCTGTCAACTGTAAATGGATGATTAAAAGAATCTGGTTTATTAAGAACATTTACATTTTAATCTTCATACGTTTCGCACAATAAAGCATTTGATACGTTGGTTTTGGTTGTCTAGGCTCCAACAAGTAATTATAGTTGGTGTGTACGTTTAAAATAATACCTAGATTAGGATGTGAAGGGTTGAATTATATATGTATATATATACGTGAAGAACCCGTAAACATGCATGCAAAAGGAGTTGGATAGCAGAAAAGAGAAAATGTCTCTTCTCAAGATGAAACAAAATTCAATCTTTCCCACAGTTTCAATACTAGTTTTCTTCTTGATTTCAATTTCGAGATCAGCAACAGCATCGCCGGATTCATATTTTGATTCATTCCTTAATTGTCTTCTTCAATCCCCATCTGATCAGTCAGTCTCTAAAGCTATTTTCACACCATCCAACTCTTCTTTCCAATCCATTTACGAGGCCTATGCAAACAATCTCAGGTTCTGGACTCCTGAAACTCCAAAACCCTTGGCCGTTATCACAGCTTTAGAGGACGTCCACGTGCAGGCAACTGTTGTTTGTGCTAAGAAAAATAACATACAAATCAGAATCCGAAGTGGTGGACATGACTATGAAGGTCTCTCCTATGTTTCTTTTGTCCCATTTGTCATCCTTGACATGTTTAATCTTCGTGCAATCGATGTGGATATAGCGAGCGAGACTGCTTGGGTTCAAGCAGGAGCAACAACCGGGGAGTTATATTATAGAATTGCTGAGAAAAGTGATGTTCATGCCTTCCCTGCAGGAGTTTGTACCACTTTAGGCACCGGTGGCCATTTTAGTGGAGGTGGATATGGAACATTGATAAGAAAGTATGGTTTGTCGATTGATAATATCATCGATGCTCAATTAATCGATGTAAATGGTAGAATTCTTGACAGGAAATTGATGGGGGAAGATTTGTTTTGGGCGATTAGAGGTGGTGGTGGAGCAAGCTTTGGTGTTATCCTTTCATGGAAGATAAAGCTTGTTCCTGTTCCACCGAAAGTCACCGTCTTCAATGTGGCGAGAACCCTAAAGCAAGGAGCTACTGATGTAGTGTACAAATGGCAACAAGTTGCTTCAAAACTTGATAAAGATCTCTTTATTAGGATTATGCCACAAGTTGTGAATGGTGATAATGGACAGAAGACAGTTAACATTGCTTTCATCGGCCATTTTCTTGGGCAAACCGATGGACTTCTTGAATTGCTGAACAGAGATTTTCCAGAATTGGGTTTACAACGAAATGATTGCATCGAAATGAAGTGGATTGAATCGACTCTTTTTTGGTTTGGATTCCCTAACGGGACCTCTATCGATGTTTTACTTCAACGAGTAGTAAAGAACAAATCCTTGTCGAAGAATAAGTCTGATTATGTAAGGAAGGTGATCTCGAAGGAAGATTTTGGAAACCATATGGAAGTTAATGACAGAAATAGAAGGGTTTCGGATGCAATTTAATCCTTATGGAGGAAGAATGGAGGAGATTCAAGAATCCGAAACACCTTTCCCACACCGAGCAGGAGTCATCTTCAAGATTCAACATTCGGTTTCATGGACACAAGAAGGAAACCAGGCAACACCCAAGTACTTAAGTCTTATAAGAAACTTTTACAATTCAATTGCTCCTTATGTGACAAGCCAACCCAGAGAATCTTTTCTAAACTACAGAGATCTTGACATTGGTGGTGGCTCAAGCAATGGCGCAACCAGCTTTGATGATGCTGCAGTTTATGGGTTCAAATACTTCAAGGGTAATTTCAAGAGATTGGCTTTGGTGAAGGCTATGGTGGATCCTGATAATTTCTTCAAGAATGAACAAAGTGTTCCACCTCTCAAGTGAAGAGCCTTTACGAGTTATTATTCTATACAACTCGCGCTATTATGTTATAACTTAGCGTCAAAAAATTATACATATAATTTGCTCATTTCAAATATAAATTTTATAACTCATTTGTACTCTTGGGAGTATTTAATAATTTTTCTTTTTTTTTCTTTTAACAATAAATATATATATTATTAGATATAATCTACTATGTGAATCAGATTAATACGTAGATTATATATTATTAAAAAAATATGAATTTTACTAAAAAATAGAATTGTGTTATATATTTTATGCAATTTTTAAATATTACATCGATAATTAATTTTTAAATATTAATTTTACTAAAAAAAATTATATATACATTTGTGGGAGTGAAAAATGAACAAACAATCACGACAAAAATATAGAAAAACACGTATATTAAAAATTTAAGAATTAACTTAATAGTGTCAGAGGAGTAAAAACATCAAATATTTTACATTATTCAATCTATATCATATGAGAAAACTCATTAAAATACATTAATGAATTAAAACATATTAAACTTTAAATTATATATATATATTTATATATTAATCATATGTGGATCATTTGGCTTTGTCTCATAAAGTACTTCCTATAGATTTTCTAAAATTAATTAAGGATCGTATATAGACGAAAAGATTATATTTTCAAAGGTAACATA